GGGAAAATTTCACACAAAGCCTCAGTAGAATAGGAATAAAGTGACTTGAGTCGTTTGTACACCTTTTATGTTACTTCTTTTGGAGTTTGAGATGTTTAAATGATGACATAATTTAGTGTGTGTGTGAGAACTCATTTTAAACATGAGAAATGGGCAACAGCTGGTGATTCAGTAGCTTTTTGCACCTGTTCTCTGCTCCTTTTTTGTCTTTTTTCTTTTTTTGGAGCACAGAAACCTGTCAGTGCATCAAATTGAATGGGAAGGATTTGTTTTTATCAGAGGATGATCTCTGCCCCACTGTTTTTGCCCTCAAATCTCAAGTTTCTCATATATGTGTCTTTTATAAATTACGACAAGTAACCCTAGCGATCTAATTACGTGGGAAGAGTTCAGGCGCTGTGCTGCGGGATAGATTTCCTCCCGCTGACCCCAGATCAGCCTTTTGTACCCTGCGTGAGCTTTTGATGCACTCTCTGCTGTGCTCAGATAAGACTTGAGCACTTCTGCTGAGATCTCTGATTCTTTGCCCTGTGGGTCAGGTCAGATGGCGCCACAGTCAATCTGCTGTAGATCACTTTCTTTCTTTCTGTCTGTCTTCTTCCTTTCACTGTTTCATCTCTCCCTTCTGAAACCCAAGAGCTTTGAGCCCATAATTTTAGGAAGCCACTGTGTTGTCTCCATGACTACCGGATGTCACCTGTTGCAGTTCTAGCTGTAGATCTAATCTGAGAGGAATATGGGAAAAGGGACAGATATTAGAAATTAAGGAAAAGGAAGACACTAAAAAAGATATGTACGGTAAATACTATTCCACTGCCAGGTCATTTATTGATGAATTAATTCTATATTTTTGTAATGTTATATTTGTTCATTTAATTTAAGAATTCATTGGTTTGTTCAGGGTTCCAGCAGTCATGGAAAATGTTGGTTACACTTTATTTCGATATTCCACTTTAAACATTCTACTAACTATAAGTATCTCTGCATCTGGATGCCAATTAACTCTCATTAGAGTATCAGTGGACTGTCTACTTAATATCTACTTTATTGTGATAGTCCTCCAACAGATATTCTACTGACTGAACCGAACCCTAACATAACAGTCTACTAATAGTTTAATGAGAGTTAGTTGACATGTAGTTTCAAAGTTACTTATAGTTATAATGTCTAAAGTGGAATATCAAAATAAAGTGAAACCAAAATTTCTTAAGTGAATATAAATGTTTCGGGTAGAAAGAGGTAATTTAGTTTAATTTAATTTAATTATTTTGTTTATTTTTTATTTTTTTATTTTGGTTGTACTGCAGATCTAGAAGAAAGTCTCTGTCCAGCTTAAGTAAGTTCTTTGATTGATTAATTTTTATTATTTTTATTATTATTATTTTATTCAGACATTTTCCAAACATTCCTGTGCAGATTTGATTTCTTAGAAAACTTTCAGACCACCCCCCCTACACACACACACACAAAACAACCTCTTTCCTCTGTTATCTCTTGTAGTTTGGTGACACATTTTTTCTCAGTGATGGTGGCAAAGATCTCGAAGCGCTCTTGCCTTTATATTACCCATAAATTGTGCTTTTTATTTGATCTGTTTCCCAGAAACTGATGTGAAATTTCCATTATGGCTGTGTAGGTGTGCTGAGTGGTTTCTATACTGTAGATGGTTATCCACTTCTGCCTTCCTGTGAGCTTGGTGAACAACACACTCATTTTCCTTTAAAGTCACCATGAAATCAAAATTGACAATTCTTCTTTTCTTTTTTTTATAGAATGTTACCGTGTTTATTATATAGGGTTTATCTGTGCACATAATTATTATAATTTTAAATGTATGTGCACTCATAATATTTAATCAAAAAACATTAAACTCCCTCCCCCCAAAACGGCTTCTGTTCTCTTCATGACTTACTGTATGTCTTGGCGGAGAGTTGGACTAAATATCCTCCACAACTGACTGCAAACTGGCATTCAGATCTGCCTCCATTTAGTTAGCAACGCCCAACTTCCAATGATCAAATCAATTCCCGAGAACGAAAAACAAGTCCCATCCTACATTTTTTTTTCTCATTCCAGAAGCCTTTTCACTCAGATATATGTCACAATGGGGAAGAAAAACTAGTTCCATTTCATGCTGACTTTAACATGCAACTTTACTTATGCTTTTATCCGTTTTTATGTCAAGTCTTTTATTTGATGTCAATCAAGCTATTGATACTGTGTTCTATAACTATTGATAGGAATATTAGACCTATCGGGATTCTGTTGGCAATGGCATCATTTTGTGCTTTTGGGGGGCTGATTTGCATCTTTATTAGTGTGGTAAAGAGGCCAGTGAACTACATAGAACAAAAATGTATACTGATGACTAGTTGAGCCATGTAACTCTCTTGTAGTGTAGACTTAATGCAAGGCAGATTATCCCTTGAATTCCTGCAGCGTGTTTGTATTTGGCTTCTCGCAGATGACAGTCAAGGCCTCTGTGTTTTGAATGCCGAGCCGACTGCTGTTTTGTCTGAGATGGCAGTGACCTTTACTACTGTTGTGATAGTTCATGCTGTTTCTGTCTCTCAATGGATGAACTCATCATGGCATTTAACTTGCGATCCTTTCACTCTAGATGATCAAAACTGACACAGACCCCTTTGTACAACATCATCTTCTCTCTTCAGGGTCAAAAGCGAAATATTACAGCCAAAAATTCTAGCATAACTCACCCTCATGTCGCTTCAAACCTGCAGCATGACTTTTTTTCTTCCATGAAACACAAAAGGAGACATTTTGAACAACGAACTCGTCACTCTTTTCCATGCTATTATGAAAATTATGCAAAAGCATAAAAATGGTCATAAAAATTTGGATGAGTAATTGATCGTTTTTTTTAACTATCCCTTTAAACTCATTTTGTTTGTGTGCAAGATTTACTCATTCTCTTGTTGTCTCCACCTGTTTTGCTCTCCCTCGGCCTGCAGGAGAGTAATTTGATCTTTATCTGTTGAAAATGCTGTTTACACGAGCTGGAACACTGCACAGACGCCGGGACAGGACGGGACGGGGGAACGTTGAGCTCTGATGTCTCCCTCGGAGTGTTATAGATACTGATATCCTGTTTAGCGGCATGTCTCTCCGCATTCACTAAATCTGACTGCTGGAGTCTAATCCAGCGTACACATCAAAAACCTTTTAAGCGGTGCATGTCTTCCGCCGTCCACACCCGTATTTATCACACGGGACGCTGCCTTTTCACTTTAGATTCCAGATATGAGATCCAGCATGTAGAGGTGGTGCAGTACATGCAAATGCAGTCCTGTGATTTATATTACATGCCATTACTGTGCTGCTTTATAGGCACATTTTAATGAGGTTAAAAAAACACTCATTCAGAGCCTGTTTTGAGGACTTGTGAGGTTGGGATGTGATGGGACGAGACCAGAAATGCTTTTGAGAGGCGTTTTAGTTATTCATCAAAGCTGAATTTGCTCGGTCTCCATTTAGTCTTGTTTATTTGTGCTGTGAGCTTTATGCAAGATCGACACATTTGATGCTAAATAAAAATAGCATCTTTCTCTGTGTTCCTTTCAGATTCCTCTATTCCGGTGGTTATTTTGGCCTGTAGCACAGCGTTCCGTTCAGTTGATTATTCCACATTATGAGATAAAAGGGAAACTCATGTGACTGTCTGGACAGGATCAAAGCAGGATGTACCAATATGTGTGCGTGTGTTCTGTGCGCGAATGCAGTGGCTTGGTTGAACATACTAAATGTCTGTTTATTTGACCAAATTTCACTTGCATTTATTATAATTACAGTTATGGTTAGGCTTGTGTGTAATTTTCATCTACAGAAAACTTGAAATCTTTCCATTCATACAATTCTACACACCCCCTTGCATGTTCATTTGGTGAAATTTTGGTTCATTTGAAAATACTTTTGAATACCAATTTGACTATGAAATAAACAAAACACAATTGTTCCATATTTATTTCAAAACTATACTGTCAGCATAGCAAATGTGATAAAAAGTATGCAGATTTCACTGTGACCTAGTTTTCCTAATAAGCATGACCTATTACTATTGCTCATACTGAAGATGTTGAATTCAGGTGCATTAAAATGTCTCACATGGGGCTTAGGAGAGGTGTGCTATTATAAGATATTTTATAAGAACTTTGAAAATGTATTTTACAGCTATATATACCCTTGCATCGAGGTGGTAACTTTTCAACTTGCAAGCAACATTCATGTTTTCTTCTGAAAAGATATTAAAATCTGGATATTATTAATATTTGTTTACATTTTAGGAAGCAAAAACTACCTCTAAAACGTCCAACGCTCATGACTGTACAGAATAAACAGAGAAACATGAAGAACACCTACATCTTGATGAATGCAGACGTCATAACTGGAATTTAAACATAAGAGCCTAAAAATAAATACATACACCGCTCAGATTTATCAAGAACTGAATAAACCCGGTGACCTCTATGAACTGAGAGCCTCATTTACACTAGAGATCACATGCTGCCTGAGGACAGCTTTTAAGAGGTCTTTAGTGAAGGAGTCCTGGGCTTCTTTACATGGGGCATGCAGGAGACAGTCCTCTGTGGGCCGTAGGGGACAAGAAGAGGACAAGAACAGGGTCTCTCTCACTCCAATGAATAGATTGGTTTGCCCCCAGCCTCAGGCACTCATTTGGTTCTAGTCTCAACAGCTAGTCGACCGAATGACATATATACACAGACACAACACTATTTCATATCCAGAATCTGCCTGGGTACTTCAGAGTGAGGACACATTTGTATCTTCCTAGGGGGGGGGGGACACTGTCCAGGCGCTCATAGAGACATTATTCCTTCTAGGTTTGTTACGTTTTAAATGGTTTGTTTATACTGTTATTGATGTGTGTTTGTGTTTTATGTGTAAAAGAAAAGCACGAACGGGAGAGAGAAGGAATGAAGCCTTGAGAATCTGATTTTACTGATTTTTTCTCCCCCTTGCAGATGAGGCGGTACACCAGAAAGAGTGCATAGAGCGAGACGACCGGAGAAACAGCCACGTTCCCGAGCAGTTTGCCGGCCTCCTCCACGGCTCATCTCCTGCCTGCGAATCCCCTGATAACCCCTACCAACTCTACGGCAAAGTGCGAAAGTTCAGCGTTCCTGAGCCCCCGGTCCGGCACGGGAATTTTCTCAGAGCGCCCGAGTGCTCGCCTCCGTTCCCTCGCACTGGCAGTGAGGCGTCTGCTCTTAAGACCCAAAGAGAAGCCAAACCGCAGATAGTCTACAGGACGATTTTTCACACACAGGTCAACCAGAGCACGTTACCGCTCGGTGAACCGGGTGACAAGACCACGGGGGTGCATGCGAGGAACGGGGAGGCCCGGAGCAACAGCACGGGCGGCAATAGCCCAGCAAGCGGCAATACCAGCTACGAAGAAAGAGCCTGCACACTTGGGAGGATGAGGTCCATGCCAAAAAACGTTTTGGACCTTCAGCTGTCCAGAAATTTCTCCAAATCAGACTCTAACCTGGTGGCCGTGTCTCCCATCGAGGAGGAGCAGTGGAGTTCCAGAGGGCAGAGCAGCCCCGGTAAAAGCAGCCCCAACAGACTGGAGAGAACCCCCTCCTTTACTGCAGAGTGGGAAGAGGTAATAACGTTTTAATTACCAGCTAATTGCAGAATCATTTCCACTTAATTAATTCACTTAGTTTGGAGTAACCAAGCTGACTGGCATGAAAGGTTTTATTTCGGTTCTCGGCTTATGTTTTTGATGTCTGATGCAAAAATCATGCCCTTTCGCCAGAAAGCGTAAATTATTCAACAATGTTGTCATGGCAGCTAAATGATTTTTAATGCGTTTCTTTAATATATAATGTATGCATAATGATAGGCCTGGGACACGTTTGCACTTCTGTTTTGCACTGACAGTGATCTGTTTTCTACTAGGGCAGCTTTTATTCAGGGTAATGTAGCATATAAAAAGTTAAGCAGTCAGTCAATTAACGGAGGAAGTGCCTTTGAATAATGACATCCTAATTATACTGAGTGAACTGATAAGCCAAATCAAAAATATGTCTATAATTAAAATAATAAATAAGGTGTTGTTTGCATAAAGAACCAAGATTAATTTGATTTTCATTTATTTATTTATTTATTTTCATGACAGTTAGTTAAGCACATTTAACCCTCAAGTTCTCATTGTTATCATGTTGAAATACTTTGCTATTTCATTTTTTATTTTATTTTTACAGTAATGAGAAATTTTGGGGGAATGTGCTTACCGTAATTATCATTACGGTAATGAGAAAAATATGACCCGGACATCTTTGACAGAGATTTACCCTATTGCAACATTTTATCAAAGATCAAAATGAACAAAGTTCACACGATAAAAATAGTCTCAGCCTCCAATATTGAGTCAATTCTCTTTCAGGTCAGTGATTATATTTAGATACAGGGGGCTTCCTGCTTCATATGTCTCCATAGTCAATAGATTTAATGCATCAGAGCATTTTCCTCACCCAGATGTCAGGTCTTCAAAGGAGAACATACATTAGAAATAACTGATCAAAGGGGAGAGGGGAGAGTTCTGCATCCGTTCGTCTGGGGCTTCCGAGCCGCTTTCTCTTTGGAGTAAAAACGCGGTCCGCTGGGAGACAGCGAGGGCTGTTCTTTGAAGGCAGGTGTTCGGCTTTATGGATGTGAAACGACACTTTCTTCACTCCGAACATCACTGTCATTTTAATGAGGAGACATTCATCAAAAAACACTCTCCCTGCTCTCTCTCCGAAACTGACATATTCTCAAACGAAGCTGATTGTGATAAATTGCCTTCCCAAAATTCCCATTTCTCCCCCAGCTTTTAGCCAACAATTAAGTGGTTTTGGAGCACAATTACTGGCATTTAAGAAAAAAACTAAAAGTGAGCTTAGAGGAAAAGAGCAATGAGGAGAAGTCTGTGGGGAAATGCCATGGAATAAAGATATAAAAATAGCGATGCCGTTATGCAAACACACAATTTATCTTTCTCTTTCTTCCTCTCCACAGATTGACAAGATTATGAGCTCCATAGGTGCTGGAATTGGCACAGAGTTGGAGGGGATTACGGAGAATCACTCAGGTTTGTGTGTGTGATGTTGATGCATATAGTGAGTCATCTCAGTACATTTAACATATATCCATAACTATAGGGAGCTCATGGCTTGGTGAGAATATCAACTAACGGCTGTGAAGTGTGCAGCGCTGTGAGACAGGAGGGTTTCCTTCAGTAGTGTCAAAGACCTGCTCATAGACAGGGAGCTTTTTGAGATGTAACCATGGTTACTCTGCGCTCTCCTCTCGTCACTGTGCTCTTCCTGTAGTCATAATGAGAGCAGGGGGACAAGAAGTGGATGGACAGTTTAGACCTCTAGGCGCTGATCTTGGGACAGTTTAGTTTTTGAGAGGGAAAGGAACATCTCGTTGACTGGAGATCACGCTCCTGAGATTCTCAAAGCAACGAAAGTGAAAACCATTAAAGTTAATAATGAGGAAATGAACAATTAACTTGCCTCTCCTCTTACTTCATCTCTTCCCCTTTCACTTCCTGTCCTCTCTCCTTTTGCCCTTTCCCTTGTCTCCCCATCCCCTGCTTTCTTTTAATCTCACTTTTACCTTTTGTCCTATCCTCTTCTTAGCTTTTGCCTCCTCTCTTCTCCTCTCACCTCCTTTCCTCTCTCCACTTGTTTCCTGTTGCCCCCTCTCATTCTCTCCTCTTACGTTTTGCCTCCTTTCGACTTCTCTCACCTCTTATTTCCTCCCCTTTTGGCTCTTCTCTCGCTTCCTTTCCTGTCATTCTCTCCTCTCCTTTCACCTCCTCTCCTATTTTCCCCATCTCTTTTGCCTCTCCTTTCACCTCCAGTCCTCGCTCATCCTCTCTTTGTGCCTGTCCATTTGCCTCCTGTCTTTTTCTCTCACCTTTTGTTGCCTCTTTTCATTCTCTTGTCTCACCTCCTCTCCTTTTGTATTCTTTCCCTTTGCCTACTCTCTTCTACTCCTTTCCTCTTTCCTCTCCTTTTGCTTCTCCTCTTGTCTCCTGTTGCCTCCTCATTCTTTTCTCTCACCTTTCACCTCTAGTCTCTCCTCCTTTCCCTTCGCTTTTTGCATCTCTTGTCTCCTTTCCTGTATTTCTCTCCTCTCCTTTCAACAGTTTTTTTTACATATCCCCTCCTCTTTTTGCCTCTCCTTTCACCTTCTGTCCTCTCTCATCCTCTCTTTGTGCCTATACTCTTGCCTCCTGTCTTCTCCCCTCTTCTCCTGTTGCCTATTCTCGTCTCACCTCTTATTTTTGCCTCCTTTCCTTTTGCATCTTCTCTCACCTCCTCTTTCCTCTATTTTTGCCTCTCCCCTTGTCTCCACCCCTGTCATCCTCTCCTCTCCTTTAATTTTGCATCATCTGATTTTTCCTTTCATCTTGCCTCCTCTCCTTTCGCTTCATCTCTCACTTTTACTGTCCTCTCCTCTTGCCTTCTCTCCTTTCACCTTCTCTCATTTTGTCTCTCCCTTCCTCCCACCTCCTCTCCTGTTCTTGCACATCTCCCCTCTCCTGTCCTCTCTCCTCTTCTTTTCTTCTTTCACCTCCTCTTCTATTTGCCTCTCATGCCACCTTAACTTTCACCCTTCCTCTTGTCTCCTCACCTTTTCTTTCAAGGCATCCTCTCCTCCCTTTCTTCTCCTCCTCTCTTTTTATTTCTCTTTTTGCAACCTCTGTTGTTGCCTTTCATCTTTCTTCTCACCTTTACTCTCCTCTCAACTCTTGTTTTCTCCTCTGCTCTATTTTCACCTTTTCCGTCATCGCCTCTCCTCTTGTCTCGTCTCCTCTCCTTGCCTCTCCTATACTTTTGTCTTGCCTCTCCTCTGCAGTGATCCCTCGTTTTTTTTGTCCTCAGAAAGCCTGTTTGTGTTACCATTCCACAAATGCTCACAGACGCCCACAGAGTGTGTGTATTATGTATGTGTGTGTACGTGTGGGAGGGAGCAACGGCAGCTTCTGCACTCAGACAAAGAGGCTGGGGTTGATCTGATGGCTATTATCGGCAATATGAGGTACAGCTAGTGAAAAGAAGGGAGGGAGAAAGAGAGACCAAGAGGAAGGGAGAGAGAGAGAGAGAGAGAGAGAGAGAGAGAGAGAGAGAGAGAGAGAGAGAGAGAGAGAGAGAGAGAGAGAGAGAGAGAGAGAGAGAGAGAGAGAGAGAGAGAGAGAGAGAGAGAGAGAGAGAGAGAGAGAGAGAGAGAGAGCACAGTGGCACAGGATGCAGAGGCATACAAATGAGTGTGGGAGTGCTGGAGAAACAGAATTCTACCAAGCAAGCTACACGCTGTCATTCCTATCCTCTTTCACACACACACACACACACACACACACACGCTCGCTCCCTCCCGCACGCGCAAATGCACACATGCACATGCCTGCACTCTCCACACACTGAGACACAGGTTGAGAAGCACAGCGGCTGAAGCGGTGGTTGGTGATCGCGCATCTCTCACCTCTCTTGTGGATGTAATTTGGAGCCTTCAGCATGCCTACCTCCACCCCCGGCGTACTTCTCCACCAGCACGGACCCTAACGCTCACTCTCCTGAGAGGACCCTCTTCTACTTTGCTCTCTCTTTCTGTTCTCTTCCCTTTCTCTACTGTTCTAAGCATTACTTTCTTTGTTTCCTTGAAATCACTTTTCTACCTCCTTTTTCTCGCTCTCTCCGTCTCTCCTGTTTGCACTCGCGCTCCCTGACGCTTGTTGAGCATGGCGGGTTCGTTTGACAGTCACATTGCGCGGAACATGATGTGGCAGTGCCAGCTCTCGCAGCCGGACTGTCGCTGCTACCGGGTGGATGGTTACTCACTTCTCAAACGCCTCCCTCTGCACCCCTTGATAGGCCCCCGCTGCCCCGTCCAGTCGGTAGGACAGTGGCTGGACAACATCGGTCTGGTGCAGTACGAAAACCACCTGCTGTCTAATGGCTTCGACAATGTTCAGTTTATGGTGAGTGTCTCCTTCACACTTCCATCTCTGTCTTTCCCTACGGCCAGTTTTCTGAGAGTATCTTTTTTTCCATTAGTCATTAGTCATCAGTTGCATCTTGTGGGTGGTGTGGGTTTGCATGTGTACTTGAATGTTTGTTGTTCTCTGTTTTTTCTCAGGTAAGCTGTTTTGTGATTATGTCAGATGTTCTGTACTTGAGTCCTCAGTGTCTTAATTGGTTGGTCTCCTGTTACATGATTGTTGGAAAATGCTCAGCATTGATTCTGTAGACCTTAAAGGGTATGAAGGCTATAGTATATCCTTGGATTTTGTGACATTTATCATGTGAATGTATTGGCTGGCCTGTATGTTTCCTGTCTGTACTCTCATATCAGAAAGGGATTTAGTTTTACATTTTTATTAGAAGTATGTGATCTAACATGTTTAGTTTAGAAGATTGTAGAAGTTTTAGCAAGTATGTGTTCAGTAAAAAGCCATATTATTGGAAAATATAAATTAAGAAAAATTATTATTAGAAATGAGACAACTTTGACATAATATGTTGTACGTATTATCTAGGAAATGGTCCTTTTGTTGTTAATCCAGTGCTGCATGTTAACTCATTGATACATTGCATTCCAACACGTGGTCAACGTCACTCCTCTGACAATGCAGAAAACATGTCCACCGTGGGCGTGTTCAAATACATGAATGTGTTTGCCTGGTGTGTGTTTGGAGGAGAAAGTGTTAAAGCAATCATGATTGTTTAGGAGCACCTGTAGAGATAAAGGGGCAAGTGTGAAGATGTTGTTTCCTGGAAGAGTCGATCAATACTGCCCGCACATTCATGATTACCAGTAAATTCTTCTCCAGAGAGAGATTAGTTTAAATGTAGCACAGATGGCAGAATGGTCCACTTGCAAAAATCATACTAGGCTTAAACTAATTAGCCTAACCAATCCCCGGTTTCACAGACAAGGCTTAAGCTAGTCTCAGACTAAAATAAATGTTTGAGCTGTTTTAACTGAAATCAACTTGCACTGACATACCTTAAAATATGCCAGTGCCATTGTTTTGTCTCAAGATGCACACCAGTAATGTTTTTTTTCCGAGACACGTTTATAAAAAAAACTACTTAAATGTCCTTATTGAACTAAGGCCTAATCCTGGCGTTATCTAAGCCCTGTCTGTGAAACCAGGCCTATATGCTGGTTAGTGCTTGTCTGTGGGCTTGTTGGTTCTTGTATATGATGGATCTGAATAATGTATTTAATTGATTAAGCTGGTCAACTGGTATGATTTTTCCAAAAAAACTTGTTAAGTAAGCTAGTGGGCTTTGTGGGTTGACCAGCACACCACGGTCCATGTTGTCGGTCAGTTATGCTGTTTTTTTTCCTGATGATTTGATGAAATGAAAGTCATCATGAGTGACCCATTAACTAATTTTCTAACATTTAATTAATATTTTTATTTTGCACACATAGTGGTTGGTGTAAAACAATCACTACACTGCAAAAGATAACTTTCTTAATCAGAGTATTTTTGTCTCGTTTTACATACAACTGTGTAAATATGCTTAAAACAACATAAATTTACTTGAGAAACAAACTTGCATTATTCATTATTGATATTAAGGCTTGTTTTCAGAAAAGAAACCCTGAATTATCATACTCTATTCATTGGCAAATTGTTTTCCTAGTTCCTTAGCATAAATCTAACAAAATGTGTTACCCCCCCCCCCCCGATTTGCCAGAGGGGAAAATAACACTTTCAGAGACTGTATCTTTAATTAAGTCTAAGATACAAATACTGGTTAAGGGAATGGTTTTAGTGTACAGTATCCAGACCATTAGAACAAATGTGGACTTCACATTATTAAAATAGTTTTAAGATTACTCATTTGACCTTGCATGCTTCTAGAACGATGTCTTTGAGCAGATGCAGTCACTGTAATCTGTTTTGTTATTTTGCATTGTGTATGGCTGATGGCTCTATACTTTAAGATTTCTGATTTAAGTCAAACTGTGGCTCTATAAGAAAACAATTTCATCTACTGTACTACTGATTTGCCAAAGGGATCTGTTGCTTTTCAGAAGAATGTTAGACTGTCATAGTGCAGATAGCAGTGAGATTGTTACTAAAACAGGTGACGTTCACAGGTGAGCCACAGACTCATGGGAACTGTGGTCCAAATACTGCACTGAGCTGATGTATAATGGAGCTGTGACTGAATCCTATACATTGTGTGACTGAATCGGATGCTCGTGCATATGTTTGTGTGTAATGAGTCTTTTTGCGAGTGTTTAGTTGCTCATGCTGATTACCCTCCCCCAGCTCTGACCTGCATCCATTCCTGTTGTTGCCGAGGCAACAGAAAGAAAGGAAAGGAATAGAGTACAGAGTATTTAAGCTATAGAAATGTTTTTAAAAAAATTGCGTTTCCCTCCTAACGGTTGTCAAGGAAATGGATTACGCTGTTTCCCTGCAGAGCATTTTTAATAAGGTGTTAAAAAACCTCTCGAAGCCACTGTTGAGTTGCCATCATAAAGCCAGCATTGACAGCTTTACCTGCTATAGCAAAACAAAATACTGAACGTGACCTTATCTGGGAGGTCAAAACTTATCAAAACTCCATTTATAAACATGCTCACAGTGGTTCTCATTGATGAATAATTGCGTACAAGGTGCATTTATACAAGAAGGTTTTCCTGCAAAAGTTCACAACAGGTGCATACAGTAGCATTAAATTGCTCTCATTGTAATAGTGATGGATCCCAGTTATTCTAAAAATGAAGCAATGTGTGCCTGTAATTAGCATAATACACGCACACACATCTCTATATAAGGGATTTCTGCTCAACCTCACTTGTACAGATGCAACATTTGATAGAAAAATGCCACACTTTAACAGAAATTATGCTCTTTAAGGATGCTTAATTGAATAAATCACTTATAGTCTTAGGTTACACATGATTGCTCTTTAAACCTTCATTAGCCAGCTGTGCATTTTCTATATAAAGTAGAACATGTCTTGGAATTGAGCTGTAATGCGCATTTTTAAGACTATGAAATAAGTAAAATATTATATACAAATAGGTCAGTAAGATTTTTTTTATTTATTAAAAAACGAATAGATTCAGCAAGAATAAATTAATAAAAAAAGTGTTTCTTGAACAGCAAATATTAGAATGATTTCTGAAGGATCATGTGACACTGGAGACTGGAGTAATGATGCTGACAATTCAATTTGCAGCAAAGGATTAAATTATTATTATTATTTAACAATATTGCTGCTTTTACTGTATTTTTTTTTTTTATGTAGCCTAGGGGAGCATAAAAGACTTAAAAAAAACATTACAAAATCCGATCAACCTCAAACTTTTCAATGGTAGTGTATGTATATATTTTTTTCTTAAAATTAGCTTAAAAACATTCATAAATTGTATTGACACTTCAATCCTGTGGAAACTGTTTTACAAGTAATGAAACTTTCTCGAAGTCACTCAAGGCAATGATCTAGGAAGTCTACTAAAGGCATTAGTGATGCCACCTTGCAGTCTTTTTTTTTAAATAATAATGACTGTTTACAAAAAAATTTCCTGAACACTTGTCCCGTCTACCATTGGCTTTGTCGCAAATGAAACCCTAACCCCTAATTTTCCTCCGAGTCTACACTTCTGTGACGTATTGCCGTGGGGTTTGACTGTGGGGTAGAACCCTTTTGAAACCTAAAATGACAAACAGGACACCCTACAGTCTCATGGACTTAACAGACACACGCACGCGGCGGACATTGTAAGTCCTCAGGGCCGCAAGTTCATATGAAATGTGCCATTTGGAACAGGGCCATTGGTCAGCCAAACAGATAGTCCCACCCCAAACTCCTGTCATTGGTTGAGCCAGTGTTGTCTCTGCGGATTAAACTGAGATACGTGTTTTAACACAAAAAAATACAATTGTTTTTGTCCAGTCAGCAGTTCATTACTATGTAATTTTATTCCTCTAGCTAAAGCATCTCCTCCGGATGAATGGGACATCTGGATGAACCACAGAGACACACACACTCTCTGCCTCTGGTGTCTGGACGAAGCTTCTGAAAGGCCTTCAGATACAATTAATATTAGATGGAGGTCTGCTGCTTCTCTCTGATGTGCTAGGCTTGTAAAGTTTCTCTGAATGTTATTGCTTTTCTTTTTCTTCAAATAGAGTTGATAATAAAGGGCGAACTGCAGTGCAGAGTCGCTGTGTTCCCTCGGTATTAGGAAGGCCGTGAATACAGCACTGGACTGAAACATTTAGTTGGAACCAAGGTGTCATTTTAAAAGTAAAATTTCAACAGTGCCCTCAGTCTGGAAGAGCTAGGCAACCGCATTTCCTGAGAGAGAGAGAGTTAAGTGGCGGAGAGATGATAGTGGTACCTCGCTTCAGGACCTGTGGGAGTTTTGAGATGAACAATTCAGCGTCATTGTGCTGGTCATTTATCTTACTCTGAACTTGGAGGGTTTGAGATGGTGTATGTTTCTTTTATGTGCTGTTGTATCCTTCACACTGTTTGGATGCTAGAACATTCACACAATGACATTATTATTTTGTAATAGTATATTTTGATATTAAAATAAACTTTCTCCACCCCTCAGGAAGAGCTTGTTTTATTGTAGAGACCTGGAGATCTTTTAGAGGACGTTTGGTGGATGTCACTGTGGTTCTGTGTGAGTCATTGACAGACTGGTTGATGAGAATGGTGTGGCAGTTTATCATGTGTAAATATGAAGCTGTATTACTGTGTATTTTAGCATCACAAAGCCAGTAGTGCACAGTTTTCCATTTCCACATCTGGTCATTTAAAGGGGTATTCCATCCAAAAACAGCCTTTACGACTTTCTGTGAAAACAGAAAATTAAGTTTAAACATTTTTTGGTTTATTTTTTCATTTAAATGTTTTGTATGGTTTTGTTTTGTTCATACAATGAATGTCTATGTGGTCCAATTTTGTTTTAGCATTCTCTTTCATTATATGGACAAAACATTTCTTCTTGATATCTCCTTTTGTGTTGCTTAGCATACTGAAGGACGTATACAGTAGGTTGGGTAATGAGGGTGAACAATTAATAATGCTTTTACTTGTCCCAAATTTTGGATTCCTATAAAAAAGTTCCCATAAATATGTTTTTCACTCATTTATCTGATTTCATGTTGAACTTTCATTCATAAATTAAAGGCAGTGTAAAGAGAAGTGCTTTTCTTTAAAAAAAAAAGAAAAGAAAAAATAAACACACAGAACAGTTAAACAGCTGAAGGCATTGTTTAAGGATGTTAAACATTACATTCATCTATAACAGTAACATTTGGACAGCACTTTTACACATACAGTATATGCTGAAATTAATTAACTCTACTACACTACTTGTACTATAGTATCTATACTGTGCAGTTTCCAAATTCCAGTTCAGATTTGCATTTGTCAAAATTTTCCCAAAAAAGTTTCCCAAAATGCTATGGACTCAACTAGACCTTTGAATTGCAAAGAAACTGGAATTATCAACTCTAATTTTAAACCAATTTTTGGACCCATTGTTTGATCAAACTGCTAAGAGTTGAGACATTTTTCACAAGCTTGCATTGAACATGTATTCATTTCCAAGATGATAACTTAATGCTGCTTGCTGAATTAAACATGCAGTGTAATGTGACACCAATGAAGGATAATACTTTTGCAAACATTTATCTTTGTATAATGCATTCTGTGCTGTTTAAAAAATAGCAGAGAGTATACAGTATGCAGTGAGCTTTCAGCAGGTCTGTGCTCTGATTGATTAGTAATGTCTTGGGACACCTGCAATTAATCTAAATCTACTCAGTGCCATTACTCTGGTCTGGATTGTATTGCTGTGAATGGAGCAGATGCTGGTGCTCAGAGGTGATTTCAGCAGCTATAAATTATACTTGAGTTGTTGGAACACCAAGGTTATTAGCTTTGTGAAGTGATACAGACACATCATAGCCTGTGTGCGTGCGTGCGTGTGTGTGTCCGTCCTGTTTCTGTTCTGTAGATGGGTGAATCACATGGTGGAAATGCGATACTATTAATTCTATAATAGGGAAGCCGTGTGTGTTTGTTGGATCCCTGTTGGATAGGAAGTTGATTGGTCGGATTGGAGTTAGTGAAAGGTCATTAAAGGTGAAACTCTGCATGAAACAGCAGTTCACGCTAATTGTGTGTGTGTGTGTGAGACTGACAGCATGTGTTTCTTGCACCTGTGCACATCGAGTTGGGGGTTGTTGATTTGAATACTGTTTGATGGCCTTATGGATCTCCTGATTGGGTTCGTGCAAACTGAAGAGGGCAATTTTTTTAATTAGAGAAAATTGCAGCTTATGCCTTATTTATCTGTCCATGTAAACTAGAAGGAATCTGTCTAATAATAAATAACTATAATAATATTTTTAATTAATTATTATTAATAATAATAGTACTTATTATTTATTTATTTATTTATTTGTTTTCTTTGCTTATTTGTTTTTGTTACTACTTCAACACATTGTTGCAGCGCACCTTTATCATAATACAATTTTATTTTATTTTTTACAGCAGGACAGTAATGTTATATAATAATAATTAAACTTTGTTTATTTGTTTTTGTTACTACTTCTACATGTTATTGCTGCAGTGCACCTTTATAGTAAAACAAATTACTTTTTTTACTGCAGGGCAGTAATGTTGTGTAGTATTATTATTAATAATATGAATTAATATTAACAATTATTATATTTGTTTGTTACTACTTCAACACATGTTGCAGTGAACCTTATAGTAGTACAAATTATTAGATTTTTAACAACAATTATTTTTTTTGTACTGCAGGGCAGTAATGTTGTGGAGGACCAGGACTTGCTGGAGATCGGGATTTTAAACTCTGCCCACAGACAGCGACTTCTTCAGGCTATTCGCCTGCTACCCAGGGTGAGTACAGACATCAGGGACTCCTTGGGCTCTCACGGGGTGCTTCCAGCTCAAAAAATATCAGCTAACAATGCATTCAGAACCAAATTTGTTTTTAAAACAAATTTAACATTCCCTCACCGATCCTACACCTGCATGATTTTCGTTTACAATGAGAACAAATAGTGACCAGTTGCTGTAAAGCTCCAGAAATGATATACTTGGGCTTCACTCTGTGTTTGCACATGTAATGGGTTGATATGCTACGGTCAGGCAATCCTGATGGGAGTTCAGTGACTTACACAAAGACACTGAACTGGAGAGCATTGTAATGAGTTCACTCTTAAAAAATGTTTGTTTTTGCTGCGATGTCATAGAAGAACCATTTTTCATTTGCCAAAAGAACCTTTCAGTGAACAGTTCTTAAAGGGATAGTTCACTTTGAAATTAATTTTTGGTATGTTTTAGCTTACCTCAAGGGCATCCAAGATGTAGGTGTCTTTGTTTCCGCAGTAGTTTCAATTTTGATATTTTTAGGTCAAACCGTTCTTGTCTGTCAGTCATATAATGCAGGTCTATAGTCACCACCTCAAAGAGCATGCACAGAGAAGTCCAAATTAAACATGATTTAATGACTCGTAAATGTAAGTACACATTGATGGCCTAAGACACGAAACGAGCGGTTTGTGTGAGAAAACGAACAGTATTTATATTGTTTTTACCTCTTGTAAACACAGCCACGTCCAAGTGATCTGAGGGTGCGGGCGCTTCGGTCTTTTCCGGAAAGCGCCGGAAGTGATATCTCGCGCGTGTACGTCACTCATTGTTTACACAGAGCAGAGATTGTAGGTAAGACGGCTAATTAAAATGGTACTAATTTGCACTTATCCAGGATGTTTAAACCGTCGTAAAAGAAAACAATTAACAAAAATAAAAAATAAAACAATTGTATGAGTGACGTACACGCGCGAGATATCACTTCCGGCGCTTTCCGGAAAAGACCGAAGCGCCCGCACCCTCAGATCACTTGGACGTGGCTGTGTTTACAAGAGGTAAAAGCGATATAAATACTGTTCGTTTTCTCACACAAACCGCTCGTTTCGTGTCTTAGGCCATCAATGTGTACTTACATTTACGAGTCATTAAATCATGTTTAATTTGGACTTCTCTGTGCATGCTCTTTGAGGTGGTGACCATAGACCTGCATTATATGACTGACAGACAAGAACGGTTTGACCTAAAAATATCAAAATTGAAACTACTGCGGAAACAAAGACACCTACATCTTGGATGCCCTTGAGGTAAGCTAAAACATACCAAAAATTTATTTCAAAGTGAACTATCCCTTTAAAAGAACATTTTTTCTTAATGTGGAGAATATTTTAAAAGTCTAAAAAACCTTTTCCCACTATAAAGAAACTTATATGCAGTGGAAAGATTCCATGGATGTTAAAGATTCTTCATGGAACTATAGATGCCAATAAAGCACCTTTTTTTTTTAAGAGTGTAGCTGTGCGAAACAAATTTCAAACAGATTGAAATTCTGTATGTGATACATGTGTGTGTCATGGATTTCATTACTAAATGAGGTTACATGGTATCCACATTTATCACACATACACATCCCAGAGTGCACCCTCCCCCCAAGAGTGCTCAATTTAAGACCCCCTCCAGAGTAATCCAGCAAAGCCTCTGGTATTGCCATATAAGAGTGTGTGTGTGTGTATGTGCAGGCGACTCGACATCAAATAAATCTCACTTGTGTCCCAAACAACCTTGCGCTCCCTTTCTCCTTCACAATCTCTGAAAGGACCCCGCAGAGGGGAATGGTTGTGTGTTCTGATAAGATAGAAAGGACACGCATGTACGTGCACACACACATTAATGTGCAAAGCTGCTTTTGTTCAAACAGATGTGAAAACCTCAAACATGAGCGGAGAGGGGTGAGTTAAAAGGGGTAGTTCACCCAAAAATTACAGTTCTGTCATCGTTTACATTGTTTCAAACTTGTATGACTTTATTTCCTCAGTGGAACACAAAAGAAGATATTTTAAAGAATGTTCTGGGTGTTCTTTTCCACAAGAAAAGTTAAAGGGATAGTTCACTTTGAAATAAAGTTTTGATATGTTTTAGCTTACCTCAAGGGCATCCAAGATGTAGGTGTCTTTGTTTCCGCAGTAGTTTCAATTTTGATATTTTTAGGTCAAACCGTTCTTGTCTGTCAGTCATATAATGCAGGTCTATGGTCACCACCTCAAAGAGCATGCACAGAGAAGTCCAAATTAAACATGATTTAATGACTTGTAAATGTAAGTACACATTGATGACCTAAGACACGAAACGAGCGGTTTGTGTGAGAAAACGAACAGTATTTATATTGTTTTTACCTCTTGTAAACACAGCCACGTCCAAGTGATCTGAGGGCGCGGGCGCTTCGGTCTTTTCCGGAAAGCGCCGGAAGTGATATCTCGCGCGTGTACGCGTGTATGCTATTCCGTGCTAAAAAAAAAAGCACCATAAAATGGGTCTGAACTACTAAAAGACCCAATTTAATTCACTATAATTTTCTCCTAATTCTGATACTTTTATGGTGGTGCTTTTGTTATTTTGGAGCTCAATGGCCCGAATCCCCAGTAAGCTGAATTATATGGAAAAGTAAAAGATGACAAATTTCAATTTTAGGTTCAAAATGAAAATTATTCCTTTGAAAAGAAGTTGAATTTAAGATTAAGGACAGGAAATGGTATGTGTCTGAAAGAGAGAGATATGAGAGCTCACTATGAAAAGAGAAAAACTTTTTCATCTGCAGTCAGCGCTTTCAAACGCTGCTTTAGCTGATAGCTTCTCTGCATTTACATTTATGCATGATTTGGCAGATGTTTTTATCCAAAGCATTTTGCGGTGTATTCAGTGTATGTTATTTTATCAATAAATATGGGAAAAATGTGTTTGTTTTCTTAGCTTGTTTCTCCCTTATTTATCTGCTAGACCAGCACCAAACCAATGTGGAGCAGAATTGAAATTCACACTAGTTCTCCAAGCAGGTGTTTCCAGCATGGAATAACAACATTTCCTGTTATTGGACCTCTCTATTCGTAACCCAAACTGTGTCCAGCCTCTGGTTTGGTTGCTGATATGTTTGTTTAACGGGTTGTTTCCGTGTTTAAGGTGCGGCCCATTGGTTACGATGGAAATAATCCTACTTCAGTGGCTGAATGGCTGGAGTCTCTGGAGCTGGGAGACTACACCAAATCTTTCCTCATCAACGGCTACACCTCCATGGAGCTGGTCAAGAAGATCTGGGAGATTGAGCTCATCAACGTAAGTCCTGCTTCTCTCTCTTCCTGCCTGTTGCTATGTTCTGAGCACATGCATTTATTTGTCTTTGGCTCTTAAACAATATTTACAGGGTCCCCACAGTCAAGGAAAACCTGGAAACATAGGGAATTTAAAAAAAGAGCGATGTCCAAACCTGGAAAAGTCATGAAAATTGTAAATAAATCTTAAACGTAATATAATATAATAGAATTATTTCATTAGCTATAAATCACTCTTATTGAGTTCTCTTTGAGATCTCTTTAAAATGTTTTTTACAAATCGCTATGATGGAAAAGTCATGGAAATTCATTGATTAAATGATGTGAGAACCCTGTATGTACACACACACACACACACACACTCGAGCGTTTAGCTATATATTTTGTTATAGTTGTGCGAGTGTAGTGAATGAAGCTGTCTCTTGAAACAAGATTTGCTGAAGGACCTTTGAAATGACAACCAGAGGTTGTGAGACATCATACTGAATCATTCTGGCGTCCTATTGGCGATTTGTCGTAATAGAGTTTCGGTTGGCTCTGAATGTTGCCTGTAATTGTATTGGTTTGATAAACAATCCTGTCCGATCTGTCTTGCTTTCGACTGCAGCGAAACCACAGCTACTGTATAATGGTAGCATCTCCGGGTATGACACTGAACAGTAGAAATTTCAGTATAACTGGATCTGTTTTTGAAAAACGTATAAGTGGATTTTCCACACGTTTGGGAAATATTTCTGCAGGAGAACATAGTAAATATCCGCACACTCATATTAATGCAACAGTTTGAGCTCTCAAGTCTTTACCAGATACAATGAAGGCATCTTTTACCTGCAATTCTATCATTTCTTCAGTCGTTATTCCTGCAGCCCACATGTGTAAAATGGAAATTGTGATTTTTTTTTTCTTCTGTGTTGGATGATAACTAAAATGGCATGTTTGATGACAGTGAGATCATGTGTCGTTGCTTTAACAGATTTGGTGTTAAATTACTCTAATTACAGCCTCACGTATGCTAATTTCACTCACTTTTCAGCCGAGAGAGAGAGAAAGAGAGAGAGCAGATTATATAATAATGTGGGATGTGATTTCTTCAGCACTTGAAAAAAACACACACACACACACACACACACACCCACTCACTGTGGAAAGTAGAATGCTGCAGTAGTAATAAACACATGGTATGGCCACAAGAGGGAGTCAGAGGAAGGAAAATCTGTGTTTTTATGCTTTTGAATGAGAAAATTTAGCAAAAGATTATTGTTGGAAGTTATCTGATTGTTTGTGTTCGCAAATGTGTGTGGTGACCATGCGTCTGTGGTAAAACACACTAATATTATGTGTGTGTGTGTGTGTGTGCGCGTGTGCATGTTTGTGTGTGTTTTGTATTGTCATTCCCTCAGGCTCAGTGTTTAATTAATACACAAAGCTTTATTAATGCTGATGTAGGCGGAATGTTTGCTTAACAATACCACTGTGCATATAGGAAGCTTTACACATGTTATGATGGTTGTATGGTGAATAAATGTCTTTAAAGAAAGTTAGTCCAAAAATTCTATCAAAAATAATATTCTCAGCCCCATGTTTGTTCAAATCATATTTCTTCTGTGGAACACAAAGGAGAAGTTTGTGAGAATGTTTACTCTCCTCTCTTCCATATAATGGACATGGATGGGGACTACAGCTGTCAAGTTCCAAAATGGACACAAAAAAAAACATAAAATGTTCATAAAAGTAATCCATATGAATTGTACACTATATTCCAAGTGTTCTGAAGCCATATGATAGGTTTGTGTAATGATAAACTCAAATACAAATTCACTTATAATCTTTCCCCTGCTGTAGCTTCAGTATTTTTTTTAAATATTAAAAATCTTTTTTTGTTAATTGGTATAAACATAAAATAAAATATAAATATTTTATAAAAACTAAAGAAAAAAAGCTAATTCAAAATATGAATAATAGTATATAAATAAATAATACAAAAATAACACTGTTCTGCATGTGATTAGTCACGTCATATTGGTGTCAAATCTATGAATGAAAGTAGGCAGTGCAAGGCAACATTTCTTCGGAATTAGTGTGCGTGTGTGTGTGTGTACGGAATGGGACATTCTGAACTTCCTCTAATGAGCCTGGATTTAGACGGATCACAGAGCGCCTCTGTCTCCCGGGTCGCTGTCCTGAACTCTCTGCTGTAAATGAGACTGAGAGAGTCTCCGTGTGAAAGAGAAGACACTTTATGCAGTGTAGTACACAGTCTGAAGCCAAGAAGACGAAGAGAGAGAAAGTATTGAGAGAAACAGGACAGAATGTTGCCTTGTTTTTGTGTTTCCTAGAGAATGTCAACCTTACAATAAAACACGGTGACCGATAGCACAGCAGTATAACAGTTTGGTTCAGAGATTGAGGAGCGATAGTATGAAGAGAGGCAGGGGAGAAGAGAGAAAGAGGGCAATGGGAGAGAGTGGTCCAGATTAAATCAGCTCATAAACGCTCAGGGCTACAGATGTTGAGGCTACTGGACAAGACAGTGACAAGATGTGTGTGTTATTGCTGTTCATAAACAATTACACAAGCACACTGTGGTGTATAAGGTCAAAGTTTATTTGATATAAAATTGTGAAATTATACTATAAGTTAAAAAAAAAACATGTGTGTATACACACACACACACACACACACACACAGGATCCTAAGTCTGCTTACTTTCTGTTGTATTCCAGAGATTCAGTGAGAATAACAGCAAATCGAATTGATGATCCAATATGTCACCTGAATCCGATACTGTTTGATCTTGCTCTTGGTTTGCCTGGGATTCCAAAATCCCACTTCCCTGCATATTCTTTATAAAACTTCATTAATGTCAAGAATGTTTGCAACTGTTTCTCAAGTTGTAATACACTTTCTGTTCACTAGATGGCTCTATCACTCTTTTTTTTTGCCAGTGAAGTTGAACTATGATGTACAATTCAAAATTAAAATATTTATTGGTAAGATAAAGAAGGTTTGCATTGCCAAAAGTCTTGATAATATTATATATAAATATACTACTTACTAAATACATTTAATATATATGAATGCAAAGTACATGTAAAGTTAATGTAATGGACTAAATATTATGTAAATACATAAAAACAATAGAAGCATCTATGTTTAGTGGTTTGTGGGTGATTTGAGACATATTGCACATTACATCATTTTAAATGTCTGTGTGAAGTGTTTAATGTCACTTTCTTTTCTAATCACACATTTATTTCAGAACTATATGAATGCTTTTAGCTTGCAGAAATTATAATTTTAGATGTCAAAACAGACCGTTGTGCTAGATTCGTTGTGAATATTAAGAAATACAAAATTATGATCGTGTTCTGATTTTGAGCAGTTTTGACACACAGGACAGGGTTTTGCCTCCCAAAGGAGAAGCAGAGTAATTCAGTGTGAACAAGCAGAGACATTGACGTAAAGCAAACAGCCTCATTAAAGACTGCTGATGTCACACGGCACAGCTCTCGTGTTTGTATGTTTCTTGTGTCTCAGCAGCATCATTCCATGCGTGTAAGAGCCTGTATGTGTGTGTTCACCCTATTAGAGAGCGATAGACTTGCGCATATGTGTGTGTCCGGCCTCAGGGTTACCACAGGCAGTCATCTGATAATATTCATAACAGGGCTCAACATGTCTGCATTCCCAAAAAGCTCTATGATTGCTCTCTTGCACACATACTGTACAAACATTATCCTTAACACTACTTTTGTATTTCTATGCTGTGACCATCACTGTAAAGGGAACGTTTGTCATGAAAATGACTATATATACTGTATATAGTAATTATTTATAGTTAAGTTAGTTTGAACATCATGATCTTAATCCTCAAACAAAATGCATCCAAACCAGCCTGGAATTGTGTTTGAGGCAAATGGAGTATTTGGACCCGTATGGCCGAGCGGCCGCAAGTCTGTGGCTTTTTAAAGCGCACTCATTGCATTTTTATTATTATTATTATTTGATCCAAAAAAGGTCTGGTTTGAGCTGTGGTTGTTTTCTGTGGGAAGGTGAATAGGTCAGCCTCCATCAGTTTACACGAATGGTTTTACGTTCAAGACAGAATTGTATAAAATGCTTTGTATGACATTTTACGACTTGTACGGTGTGCATTTTTTTTAGAACAGGTCAGATTTTTACCATTCTGTATAATGTATAGCACTTGTTCTTTCATGTCACATGTTGTGTTTCCAGGCAGCCGCTGGCTTTGTGGTTAATGTTTCTGGTTAATGTTAGCCGTGCTTGGGTCGTGTTGGTAGGCGGTCAGAAGTCATTTAGCTCGTAATAATAGTTTAGCTCGTTTTTTTTGACAACTGTTACGTGGTTGCCATGACTGCTAGCGGTAGTTACCATAGAGACAGCTTGCGTGAAGTACGGATGATTCAAACCTGACGTGTTTGTGTGTGAGTAAGTGTGTAAGGGCATGTATCCTTTAAGTGTGCGTGGTCCAACACTTACGATTTGCAGACTGTGTGTGTGTTATTATGAGTTTCCATGTCCTTTGTGTTGCATTCCTGTTTTCATTACTTCCTGTCACCTCTCCAAATGCACAGATTGCAAATTGTCTTTTCTTACACTAGCAGATGGCTACTGCCTTCGTTAACACAGCAGGCCCATCAAACGCACACACAGTCTCCCCCTTTTTTCTGTCTATCTGTTCTTTCCTTTTGGCACCCGTATTACACTGCCTCTCACCTTAACGATGACAAAACATTTGCTTTAATACCAAAAGACACATTGAGGATTGTTCTGTATGTTAGTGTGTGTGTGTGTGCTGTACTATACGGTATGTACAAGTGTGGGTGGGTAGGCCTGTGGGTTCATATGTTGAATTGACGCACACTGACACACATTTGTGGCACATGACCATGCGAGTGTTGTTCTCAGGGTGAGGGTGAGCCGAGATTATTCCCGTAGGACAGATCCTGCTGATGGGTATCAAGATGATCCAGTGGCCCCAGC